TAATTTCCCCCGGTGACTTCATGCAGATGTTGAATAAGGTAGGCAAGACAACAAAGGCCTGGGGCTCCTCATATTGGAATGGCCAGGGCCTTGGTCTCTCTTTCTCCATCGCCACCAACTGGAGCTGCCTGTTTAGGAAGGAGTGGAATCACAGTACAACAGTTCCCAGTGCTTGCAGGTGGTCCAGAGGATACTATAATCAATGGTATTGAAGGCCACTGAGAGGACTAAGAAAACCAGGAGGGCTGCACTCCTCTCATCCAATTCCAGCCAGAGGTTATCTGCAAGAGTGATCAATCCAGTTTCTATCCCATGTCCATGCCTGAAACAATACAGACAAGGATCCAGATAAACTGGTTCTTTCAAGATCCTTTACAGCTGAGTCCCAAACACTTTATCTAAAATCCACCCCCAGTAGTTTCTCTAACATCATTGTTGTTGTTTTTTAATCCAACATTCCTAAAAATCAGGTAATTTATTATGAAAATTTAGGATGCAACAAAATTTAGGATGCAACAAAATTTACTTTGAAAAGTTTTATGGCATGCAGATCTTGGAGGTACTTATATTTAATTGTATATCCAAAAAAGCTACTTTAGCAATACCCATGGGTATTGTGGGATTTGGCAAACATAAAATTCATTTTGAAATGTTTCCTTTTTCAAAAGAGATGGCACATGATATAAAGTTGTTTCAGACAGAAAAGCCCTCCCCCCTTTTTTTTTTTTTAATCTCTGTGTGTCTGTCTTCAAGTCATTATTGACTCCTGGTGACTGCCTGGAAAATTCCTGCAGTTTTCTTGGCAAGATTTTGGAAGTGGCTTGCCATTGCTTTCTTCCTAGGTTGAGAGAGAATGACTGGCCCAAAGTCACATAACTGGCTTGGTGCCTAAGGCTGCATTAAAACTCATGGTCTCCCAATTTCTAGGTTAGTGTCTTGACTACTGCACCAAACTGGCTCTCACAAAAGCCCTAAATTCATATAAATCATGACCCCCATATTAAATTTCACCTTAATATTTATTATCATTTCAATCTAATTTTAGCACAATGCATTTCATTTATGGGCTAACAGGATATTCAGCTTCCATTAATAATCACTTCATATCCCCTTTTCTAGCAATGTGCATAATGTGCAAACAATATAAAGTTTCAAAGGAACTTTGGAGATCATTTAGTAAATCTCCTGCCCCCTGCATTCCTGACGGATGGCCATCCAGCTTATATTTAAATGTTTCTGGCAAAGGAGAGTCCGCTACCTCACAAGGCAGTCTGTTCCATTGTTGAACAGCTCTTACCATTAGGAAATTCTCATGTCTAGTCAAAATCTGATTCCCTGTAATTTAAGCTCATTGTATCTTCACTGAAACAAAAGTGAAGAAGTCTGCCCCATCTCTATATAGGTAGTCTTCATTGAACGACCACTCATTCAATGACCATTTGAAGTTACAATGGCGTTGAATGAGGGGACTTAAAAAGAGTCCTTGTAGTTACAGCCATCACAGCATCCCTGCAGTCACACAGTCGCGATTTGGACACATGACAACAGCACCTGGCTCACACTTACAACATCACTGCATCCTATGGCCACGTGATCACCATTTGCAGTCTTCATTGCTGGCTTCTGACAAGCAAAAATGGGGAAGCTAGGAGGAAGTCTCAAATGGCGATCACATGACTATGGGATGTTGCAACTGTGCAGGATTACCTAATGATGGCAAGTAGGTCTGCTGCAACTGCCATTGTAAGTTGGCATAGTCACATCATGTCACACTGCATTGCTTAGCAACAGAGTTGCTGGTCCCAATTATCATTGTTAAATGAGGACTATCTATATGATAATGTAGATATTTGAAGACAACTACAAGTATTCCTCACTTACTGACTGCATTTGGGACTGGCAACTCTGTTGCTAAGCGGTGCGGACTTCAAGTGTCTGTTCCGGCTATGGTCGTTAAGCAAATCACTGCAGATCATTAGGCACAATGTCACATGACAGTGACTTGCAACTTCCTGCCAGCTTCCCCATTGATTTGCTTGTTGGAAGCTGGCTGTGAAGGTTACATTGCGGGAACACTGCAATGGCCACAACTTTGAAGACTGGTTGTTTTGTTTTTCAGTGCTGTCGTAAGTTCGAATGGTCACTGAAAAAATGGTTGGTAGGCAAGGACTACCTATATCATGACTCCTCACAGTCTTGTCCAAGCTAAATTTGCTCAGTGCCTGCAGTTATCCCTCATAGGCTTTTCCTCTCCTACCTCTTATCTTCTGGGTTACTCTCCTCTGTTCATACTTCCCTTTGTCAGTGTCCATCCTAAAATGCGAAGCCCCAAACTTTATGCAATATTCTAGGTATAGCCTAGGTATATTCTAGGTATAGCCTAGGTATAGCCTAGGTATAGCGAGGGACAGTAACTTCTCTTGATCTTGATCATTGTGTTGATGAAGGCTAGAATTGCATATTTCCCTCTGAAGGTTCTGCTATTTCCTCCTTTGGGTTGTGTGCAAATGTGTTACTTATGTTTTCTAACCTCATTCAACTCATTTATAAAATGTAGAATGCACAAAGCCATATGGTACACAACCTGGGACTTATTTTCAGCATGATGCTAAGCCTCTGATATATATTTTGGGGTATGATTGTTCAAGCAGCTCTGTATCCATCTAATATTAATATAGTACAGCCTACTTCTTGTCATTTTCTTTATAGAATCTCATTTCGTGCTTCATTGAATGCTTTGCTGAAGTCAAGATATATTGTGTTGATTGCATTCCTCTGATCAACTGAAGTAGTTAGTCTTAACAGAAAAGAATCAGTTTGGTTTGGCATGATTGATTCTGATAAATCCATGTAGACTCTTGACAGATATTGCATTCTTTTTTTAATACTCAAAACATTTTTTTCAGAATTTTGCTGTGTATCAGTGTCAAACTGATTGATCTGTAGTTACCCAGGTCCTCTTTTGTCCCTTTCTGAAGACAGGAACAACATTTGCCCTTTTCTAATACACTGCCACTCCTGTCCTCTGTGATTCCTCAACAATTACATAGGAGGACTCTGAGATGAATCCACAGCCCCATTCAAGGCTCTTGAATATAATTGGTCTGTTTTCAAGCCTTAAACACATTCACAATAGCCAAGTGCTCCCTAATTATCTCTTTATTTATATTGGGTTGCCACACACTCCTTTTGTTAATTGTTCTGCCAAGATCCATTTGAACAAAGTTCCTTTTTTTGGGAAAAGACCAAAACAAATAGGTGTTAAAGTTCTGCCATCTCTATTTCATATATTACTGTCCTATCATCTTCTCCTAGCAGCTGGTCCACCCTTTCCTTTTTCTTTCTTTTATTACCAGCTTAGTCAAAATCCTATTTTTGTTGTTTTTTGACTTTCATAAATCTCTTTGGTGTTTTAGCTTTTCTAAAACTGCAAGGACTCGTCCAAGCAGTCACTGCAGAGTCGGTAACTTCCTTTCTGCAGATATATAGTCATCTTCTGTTTCCTATGGATGCCCCTTTTAATTCGTAGTTCAATTGAAAGCTCTCTGTGTATCCAGAACAGTATTCTTAGCTGCCCTCTCTCCTTTTCTCTCTCACTGGAATAGTTTGTGTTGCACTTCCAGTATGCTATTTTTGAGAAGATTATTGAGAACAAATAATCCTTTGTTCTGAGAATTCTGTCCATGAGATCATGCCTAGTGCTTCTTTAAACTTACTGAAGCTGGCTCTCCTGAAATCTAGTAAACATATATGATTATGTTCCATTTTCTCTTTCTGTACTATCTTGAACCCCAAGATAACTTTCACCCAAAGTTCCCACTGCTTTTATCTCTTCAATCAGTTGTTTCCTATTCGTAAAAATAGGTCTAGGAGAACTAATCCCCTTGTCTCTTCTTAATTGTCTGGAAAATTATCACTGAGGAATTTTTGGAACCTTGCAGTCTTTATCAAGTTGTTTTTCCAGCAGATGTCCAAATAGTTGAAGTTTCTCATAATTATTGTATATCTTCTCCCTTAAATTTATGTGATTTGATCTCAGAGAACATTACCAGATTTTCCACCTGGCTTGTCAGTCTATAGCACACTCCTACAATAATAACTTTGTAATTTCCTCTTCCTTGTATTCCTACTGGACCCTCATGTTCAAATGTCTGAATCTTAATCCATTAGTATACTTCCTTCACATATGCTACTCCTTCTCCCCTTTAAATCAAGACTGTTTACAATCAGGTAGTTATACAAACTACAACATATTATACATAATAAAATTGAAATTGTGGTGCTAGGAATATATACTGTAATATAAAGTACTATGTCAGTATATTAAATAAAGTTGCAAATAGCAGAGATTATCCTATTTCAGAACTTTACCTTTTTCATGTTTTTGTTTTGTTTTTGTTTAAGTTATTATCCTGTTCTTCCTTTAAGACAGAATAATACTAGTGTTAGACTGAGCTGTCTGATCATTCCTTAAAAGATACTTTTTTAAAAACAAAACTGTAATTCAAGATAAAAGAACCAAACTTACATACGCTTGTTGAAATCAGATGGACACTACTCAGTTTTGCAAAATAGATAGAAGTAATTTATAGTCTGATTCAACATTTGAAATAACTGCATCTACAGTTAAGAAAGGTAACTACTATTTGACATGGTACCTGAAATAGCAGTTACTGAACTCAGGTTAGTTATAAACTATTGTTTGCCTGATATATATAGGAAGCATAAATGGGTTTAGATTGATGCTTGAACTGAGAGTCTGAAAGCCAGATTTTCAAACTGGAAAAATTGTATTCAAATTTCCTTAAGGTATCTAATAGAATTGACATGTATGTACCTGCAACTGAATGTTCCAATATCTACCAAACCAGCATTGTAAGAAAAAACTGATTGATTGCCCTAAAAACATTTTGTTAGATACTTAGGAAGGATTATGCATATAACTTATTCAACAAGAAAGTAAACCTACCAGTACATGTTCTCTCTCCTCTTTTTCCAAGGTATTTTCAAAAGAAATAATTCAAGGCTGATGGATGAAATTTTAAAACAGCAGCAGGAATTGTTGAATCTTGACTGTTCCAAATATACTGTGAAGTTTGCAAATCAGGAGAAAACAGATCAAGGTAAGACAGCTTTTTAAAAACCTGAGTCGGTAACTTCCTTTCTGC